GTTCTCACATGCAAAATAGTCTCATTTTATCCCAAGAGGCTCAAAAGTCTTAACTTGATTCAGCATCAACTCTAAACTTTGAAGTCCAAACTGTCATCTCAATGTCATGTAAATCAGATATGAGTGAGACTCAGGTTTAGATTCAAAAGAGGCAAAGAACTTCTCCAACTGTGAACTTGTGAAACCAAATCCATTATGTGCTTTCAAAGGACAATGATAGGACAGTCGTAGAACAGACATTTGTATTCTATCCCTTCGCTACCATCTCTATTTATCTCTTTTCCACAATCTCAGCTATTTTTTTTTCTGGACAAGGGGATATATTTCTTACTACGTACAGTGAAATATGTAATATAAAACGTTCAATTATATGCACTTAGTCAAATGGAGATTTTTCAAACAACTACAGGTAGAACTACCACATGACCCAGCAATTCCACTGCTGGGTTTATAACCAAAGGAATGGAAAGCATCATTGCTTTCCATTGAAGGAATACCTGCAATTCCAGGTTTACTGAAGCTCTATTCACAAGAGCCAAGATATGGAACCAATCTAAATATCCATTGATAGATGATTGGATAAAGAAAACATGGAATATATGTACAACTGAATACTAGTGAGCCACAAAAGCAATCTCAGCTTTTTCTAGCACCCATCTGAAAACTCTTCCAGCCTATACCCATTATATAGTTCCAAACCCATTTCTACGTTTTAGGCATTTGGTACAGGAACATATACATATAAATACAAATTTTATAGTATTAAAATATAAACATAATATCTATTAATATAAAATTCTACAAAAATAATAAGAACATAGGGTTCAGATCCCCATACTGGCCAGCTGCTAATTAATAAATAAAAATAATACAAATAGATGTTATACAAACTACCTCCCCTCTGACCTTAACATAATGTCACAAACAAGAAAGACTCAAAGATTCACAAATTTGGAGAAATTAAGCAACACTCAAAGAATTAGTGGATGGAAAAAAAGGAAAATCAGAAAATAATTATAAATGAAGAAAACTGACAACACAAAACATCAAAACATACAGGACAAAACAAAAACAGCACTAAGGAGGAAGTGATAGCATAGGAACTTTTTCAGATATGAGACTATTATCGTGTGATTGTGCTTGTGGAAGCTGAGCCAATGACTACGGGGCAGAGGGCACTGCAGTGGCTGAGTCCCATGACGTGGGTTCTGATTCAGATATGAGACTATTATCGTGTGATTGTGCTTGTGGAAGCTGAGCCAATGACTACGGGGAAGAGGGCACTGCAGTGGCTGAGTCCCATGACGTGGGTTCTGCCACTCCTTCCTCCACCATCTCTCCTCACAACTACCTGGGGCTGCTGTAGAGAAATTTTTTTTTTCCCTTTTTGTCTTTTTCCGTGACTGGTAATGGGATCGCAACCCTCAGTGTCGCGCCCACACCGCGCTCAACCAGTGAGTGGACCGGTCTCTATATGGGATCCGAACCCTCGGCGGGAGCACCGCCGCACTCCCAAGCGCCACACTCCACCGAGTGTGCCACCAGGCCAGCCCGTGCTGTAGAGAAATTTTCCAAAAAATAGGTCAGCTGTCCATTCTCAAAGATGTTTCCTCACGAGAAGACAGAGGGGCCTTGAAACGGAAAGCCTAGAAGTGGAAATGGCTATTAAGAGACTGGTCCTGGAAACACACCTTATTTGTGCTCAACCATCAGGGTGCCCATAAGAGGATCCTACTTGGAGAGAACAAGGCAGAGTGTGTTTGTTTCAGAACCCCAGAATCCCATATATCTGACCTGAAAAACCTATAGTAAACTCCAGGACACACTCCAGGATCCCCCTCACTTCTAACCAGTTGCATTTGTAAGATGAAGGCAGGTGTGGCCCTAGAGGGTGTTTATGAGATGAGTTCCAAAAAAGGCCTGCAAGGGTCCAAGTCCTTTCCTCCCCAGTTCTTCAATTCTTCCTATAAAGGACCCTATGGGGCTGGAAAGAAGTGTTGCAACATAAAAATCAAGGTTCAGGTCAGCTTAACACTGTCCTAGTATATGAAAGCATATTTATTTGCTCTCTACTAATTATTTTTAATACATACACATACTAAAACATAATTGTGAATTTTCACAGATGTACAGTTATAACATAAGCATAGGATGAAGAACAATCCCCATATCAGCCAGTTGTCTGTCCCCCTCTCCCCAAAAAGATGGAAAACACTGAATTACCTCCAAAGAAGATTCTTCTGGTGCCCATTTGTACAGAACTGCTCCACCCTACATCACTGATCTGAGTTACATTCCTATAATCTTGACTTTACTAGACTGTGATATAAATGGAATTGATGGAGTTTGGATGTGTTGTCCCCTCCAAAACTCATGTGGAAATTTGATCTCCAATGTGGCAGTGTTGGAAACTGATTGAGTCATGGGGGCGGATCCTTCATGAATGGATTCATGCTCTCCCTCGGGGAGGGGGGATTAATGAGTGAGTTCTCACTCTATTAGTTCCCACGAGAGCTCGTTGCTTAAAAAGACCCTGGCACCTTCTCTCTCTCTCTCTCTCTTGCTTCCTCTCACCATGTGATTTACTTGTACCCATCAGCTCCCTGCCACTTTCCACCATAATTAAAGCAGCCTGAGGCTCGTGCCAGATGCAGCTGTCCCAGAATCATAAGCCAAATAAACCTCTTTTCTTTATAAATTACCCAGTCTCAGGTATTTCTGTTACAGCAACGCAAACGGACTAATACAGAAAATTGGTACTGACGAGTAGGGTGTTGCTATACAGGTAACTGAAAATGTGGATGCAGCTTTGGAACTGGGTAAAGGGCAACGGTTGGAGGAGTTTGGAGGACTTAGAAGAAGAGAAAAAGACGAGGGAAAGTTTGGAATGTCTTAGAGACTTATGTGGTGGTGAACAGAATGCTGATAGAAACGTGGACAGTAAAGGCCATGCGGATGATGAGGTCTCAGATAGAAATGAGGGACTTATTGGGAATTGGACAAAAGACCATCCTTGCTACACCATAGCAAGGAACTTGGCCGCATTGTGTCCATGCCCTTGGACTTTGTGGAAGGTGGAACTTTAGAGTTGTAAACCAGAGCATTTTGCCAAAGAAATTTCTAAGCAGACATTACTGAAAACGTAGTATCTGCAGGTCACCTCTATCATTTGGGTAACTGACCTCTAAAATCACTCTTTTTGGTGTTTCAACCAGAAAAATCACAGTAGACTTGCACAGCTACCACTCCACTGATGATGAGCAAGCATTGTGTAGATGACTGTTAACTCTTTCTCAAATTGGGAGGGATTCTATGGTACAATGGAGTACATATTTTGTCAGTCCATAGAGCAAAACTATTAATAATGCCAAATATAAAAAGGTGGCTCAAAAACTTTTCAAATCATGTGAAATAAAACCAAAAAAAAAAAACTCATGGCCAAATCAATGAGAAGTCTGAAGACACAGACAACCATGTCCAAACTCATGGTCACGTATTACATAAGCTAAAACTTTTAACCATGGCAAAAATAAAGATAAGCACATTTATATAGATCTCTATGGGAAATCATGACTGCTCATCCCATGAATGCAGGACTGTCTGTATCGCTCCCCTGTGTCTACATCCGCACCTGAGCAATTCCTGAAAAAGTGTTGAAGATATACTAGATGTGGAAACTGAAATGATCAGTGAAGACATACTCACTCACGGATGCACTTAGCCTCCACAGAAAAGTTATACACACACCCCAGCTGCCTTATTATCTCACATGTCACCATTTCCTTTCCTTCAAATCCCTTATTTTGGTCTTAGAAACCAAACCTTTACCATTTGTTAACCATCTACTTTTTCTCACAAAACTGTAAGTACCCAAACTTCAAAATTTTGTTTCATGCCCCTGAATCCAGAGCCTAGAGTACCTGGATTATTTGTGCTTAGTTTTGTATGCTCTGAGCTTACAGTGCCTGGTATATGAGGAATGTTGTTAAATTAGCACTGAGAGCATACTTTCTAAGTAAGAAAGTTTTGATTGGAAAAGTAATCCTTTCTTTGTCTGTGGCTAGGTTTCTATTCTGACTATTTAACTTAACATAATGGTCTCAGTTGACTCAGAAAGAAGACTTACTATAGTTTGCTACCACCACATAAGTGAACTTATATATTTTAACTAAGGTACTATTGGAAAAGAATGTCCAATACACTGTAGGGAAACAAATGAAAATAAGAATTCATATGAACATATAGTCAATGATGAACATTACATACCTCCAAATTAATTAATGCCAACTATTTATTAGCAATGAAAATGGAATAACAATCTTTTTGTCTGATATTTTTTAAATGTTCTTTTTCCCATAAGAAATAAAGGTGAAATATATATAATAGATAAAAAGTATCTACTACCTGCCATATTGGCCAATAGGAAAATCTCAGCAATTAACAAAGACTCATTTTTCAAGGGTATATTGCTCAATGAACAATTCATGTATATAAAAATTAAACCTACCTGCATATAAACAATATATTTCAATTTCCCACACATACAACACATTTCAAATTGAAAAGGGAAAGAATTTTATTAACTGACCAAAAAATAAAACTCCTAAACTCATGTACTATTGGCTTAAGAGTACATACAGAACTGTTTCAACTCCATGTTTCTTTGCAAAAAAAAGGAAGTCAGTAGTTGATAGATCCACATTAAGATATAAGGCATGGATAAACATAGTATAGTTATTACTTTCACATTTCTTTCACATTGCAAAATTTCTAGAGTATTATACATGAATTAACTTTCATTAGGCTTTCCACACTACTGACATTTATGGGATTTCACTGCAGTGTGTTTTCACATGACTTTGAAAAATTTGTGAAAATTTTAAACTATCTTGCATTTTGAAAACTAATGAGATTTCAGTCCAGTGTGCATTTGTTCTTGTCAGTATATGAGCCAACTGAAGACTTTTCCACATTCCTTACTTCATCATTTTTATCCAGAATGAATTCTTTTATGCTTTTGAAAGAAACTGGAACAAATGAAAGCTTCACCACATTGCTTACATTCCTAGGGTTTATCTCCAGTATGAGTCTTTTCATGTCTTCGAAATGAACTGGAATGGCTGAAGGCTCTACCACATTGCGTACATTCATAAGGCTTCTCCCCAGTGTGAGTCCTTTTATGTACTATAAGAGAACAGGAACAACTGAAAGCTTTACCACACTGTGTGCACTCATAGGGCTTCTCTCCTGTGTGAGTTCGTTCATGCTTCTGACAGGAAGAGGAATTATTAAAGGCTTTACCACATTGCGTACATTCATAGGGTTTCTCCCCAGTGTGAGTTCTTTTATGTACTATAAGAGAACAGGAACAACTGAAAGCTTTACCACATTGTGTGCACTCATAGGGCTTCTCTCCTGTGTGAGTTCGTTCATGCTTCTGACAGGAAGAGGAATTATTAAAGGCTTTACCACATTGTGTACATTCATAGGGCTTCTCCCCAGTGTGAGTTCTCTTATGTACTTTAAGGGAGCCAGAACAAGTGAAAGCTTTACCACAGTGTTCACATTCGTGGGGCTTCTCTCCAGTATGAGTTCGTTCATGTTTTCGACAGGAAGAGGAATAACCAAAGGCTTTACCACAATGTTTACATTCATAGGCCTTCTCTCCAGTGTGAGTTCGTTCATGTACTCGAAAGGAACTGTGCCACCCGAAGGTTTTACCACATTGTTTACATTCATAGGGCTTCTCTCCAGTGTGAGTTCTTTCATGTTCTCGAAAGTGACCAGAGTGAATGAAGGCTCTACCACAGCGTTTACATTCATAGGGCTTCTCTGCAGTGTGAGTTCTTTCGTGCACTCTAAGAGAACAAGAGTGACTGAAGGCTTTGCCACATTGCTTACATTCATAGAGTTTCTCTCCAGAGTGGATATGTTCATGACTTTGACATGAACTGGCACAGTCAAAGCCTTTTCCACATATTTCACATTTATGAGGTCTATCTCCAGTGTGTGTTTTCATGTGTCTTTGAACACTTGCCAGAGAAATAAAGGATGTACCCCTTTCTTTATGTTCATTCCATTTCTCTCCAGTGTGAGTCCTTTCATGAATTTGATAGGAGTGGAGATAACAGAAGTCTTTCCCACACTGCTGGTGTTTATATGGTTTCTTTCCATATTCCTGATTCTCATGTGGTTTGGGTCTGGTGCGAGATAAGATGTGCCTATTAAGAAACGAGTGACACATGAAGACTTTACCACACTAACTACATTCACATGGTTTTACTACAAAATTAGATTAAGATTTGGAATATGACTTAAGATTTGGGTCCAGTGTGTGATAAGATGTGCCTATTAAGAAACTTTACCACACTAACTACATTCACATGGTTTTACTACAAAAGGATTTTTCTTGTTTAGATTAAGGTTTGGAATATGACTGAAAGCTTCTCCACAGTGATAACTTTCTTTACTTTCACTGAATTTCTCTACAATATGATTGCTCTAAAAAAAATGAGAACCACACTATTAACACTTTCACATTCATTGATATATATTGGACTTACATTTTTCCTAGTATCAGTGAAACTGTAGGTTTTCTGCCATGCTTGAGCTTTTTGAAAGTGATTGCTCTGTAAGAACCTTTCACTACAGCTATTGAAAACAGTGATATTCATACATGCAGTCTCTTAAGTTTCCTATGTTGCAAACACTGAACATCTTTGTCACATTTCAATATACATTTTTGGCAAACGTTTTCTACAAATAAATAAATTTAAGATTGGGCTTGTTCAGTTTCCTTACTTTTTAAATTCTTTGACATATTAAGATTCTCCCATGGGACAATGCTCTCTCTTCTGAATACAAATTACCTTATATTTCTGCTGTGATTTTTGTACTGATGTTCAATGTTCTCATCTTCCCATCTTTTTCCTAAAATGTAGGACCAATAAAATCATCATAAATTGTTACAAATTATACAAAAATATTAGATTTTATGTTCAATATGAGCTGTGACCGTGCCTGATTTAGTCACCGAAGTATTGTTTCCACCATCCAAACTGTGGAACAGCATTGATGATAAGAAACACTTTTTCTCTAATTGACTAAAGGAAGGAATGTGTCATCCTTACCTATAGAAGCCAAGTGTGTACAGATTTCCCCCATGACATCTCTGTAGAGTTTCTTCTGGGAAGGATCCAGCATAGCCCACTCCTCCAGGGTGAAGTTGACATCCACATCCTCAAAGGCCACTGAGTCCTAAAAACATCTCAAACGTGTTTAAATGAGAAATAGTGAGAAGAAAACACAGGGATGTATACTCAATTCAGAAAAGTTCACATACAATTCCGTAGTCTCCAAACATCTGTTTTATGATAAATAAATATGGTCATCAGAATGAGAGCTCTGTCCATGCTCACTTCCTCATGAATTTAACAGCACCATGAAAACTAGGAACTGATCTCTACATTTTTACTGTGAGCACTACAAGTCTTATTGCCATCTAATGGAGGATTCCAGTTTACCTTGGGGAAATGACAGATATACTATAAAAATGGCACAAATTTTTAAGACCATCATTCCTTGTGAGAAATTCCTTCCATTTCCTCCCTTATTATTGACATTAGGCAGTACTGTATGAGGCACAGGGTAAAACCTAGATGAGATTCAGTGAACAAATAAACACTGAAGGAGTGACAGCATTTTCTTCAATTCCTTTCACCAAGCATGAAAGTCCTGAGGCCTGTAGAAATCCAACTCATAGCAAGGTCCAAATGACCATATTTTTGTGAAGGACTCCAGGCCATTGGAAGTAGTCAGACTTACCTGGATGAATGAAAAACTTGCTCTACAATTTTTAATGTATTAATTTTAACTTGCTTGTGTAGTATTAATCACAGACTCTATATTTCCTTTTTCTCTCTGACCCATTTCATTGGGTTATAAAGTAATTGGGGAGACAGATCTTAGGCATGAGGAAGAAGTCTGAGATCTTCAAAAAAATTCCTATAGTTCTAAGCCTCAGGGAAGGTTTCCACCCAGTTTTAGCAGGCAAGTGTTCTTCAAAAGTTTATGGAAAGATTCAATCTTTTAACTCCAAAAACGTTTTGGATCACCCTCATATGTACATACAAATACTGAGAAGAAAAGATTTCAGAGAAACCCTTTCTGATAGACCCATGGCAGTGTACCCTGGGCCTTGCTGAACTCAAACAACAGGTTAACAGTTGCAAATTCCAAAAGATTTCATTGAGTTCCACAATAGCTTGATGGTGAAATTGACCATGATTATAAAATATTTAAAGGATTCAGCAGTGCCTTCTTCCAAAAAATAGAGAATCCTTTCTCCAATTTCAGGAACAAATGATTCCTTATCAGCCAAAAGGCGACATTACATTGTATAATGTTAAAGCAAAATGGAACAAGGGGAGAGACGGCACATATTCTTAGAAAAAATTCACTTTCCCCATGATGTCCCCTTTTAAAATTCCAAAAAAGTACTTCTCTAAACCTAATGAAAATAATGAATGTATAACCATGGTCAAAGTCTTCTGAAGAACATGGTGAAAATGCAGCGTACTCCTTTCTAGTCCATGGACAACAATCAGTTTATGGTCAATTTATAAATAAAAGACAAAACCAGAACACTTCAAAAGACACAGGCAAATTTTTTTTCTTATGTAAAAACATGAAGAATTTTCTCACATAAGAAAAAGTGTAAGCCCCAAAGGAAGAGACTGAGAGATTCAAATAAATTAAAATGAAAGGAGGCAAATGACAACAAAGTGAATGAAAAATATCTGCAATACATGCAATTTAAAGGGATTTATGTCCAGAGTAACAATGAATAAACACATGATTAAAAAGGGAGAAAATAATAAAAACATATTAAACAGAAGTTGAAAGATCATGTATAAGAAAAGTTCCATCTCTTTAATAAAAAAGAAATAGCCAAATAAGATGTCAAGTAGATCCCAGTTCACACTGACCAGAAGAACAAAACTTAGTCAATTAGATAATCCCAAGTGGTGATAACCATCATGAACAAATAGTTACACAAAAAAAGAGGAAAAGTCAATCAATGCACTTCCTTGCTA